GAGAGAGAGAGAGAGTATAATATGATTGTAATATTACGAAATATTATAAAATAAATGGTAAGCAAAAAAATCGATTTTTCATTCATATTCAGATTTACTTCAACTAAAAATTACGAAAATCTCTCGTTTTTCCTTGATACAAATAATTAACATATTTCTATATAAAATTTAATTTTATCAATATATTACAATAAATACAATTTTAATTTAAAAAATGTAAATTTTATACAATTATATTGCGCTATCAATAACATAACTATGAATAATAACAAATAATGTCATATATTGGCATATCTGTTCATATTAAACAAGGCATACATAAAATAAAATCTAATAAAAAAGTTTAATCTATATGTAGAAAAACAATACTAAGCTAAAAGTAAGCGAAAAGATGATATTAAAGATATTAAAAATAAAATCCTGTGAAGAGACGATATATGAGCGTATTAAGTATGGAGTTGCGGCATGGCACAGATACATTTTTAAGCACATCATTGTTTATACTAATACTGAAATACGAGTACGGCATTTGTTACACTTATATAGGACAGAGTAAGGCACACATACACACTCCGTTAATGTCAAGGGCCCGATATACCGTCCCTCCAGAAATATAATATACTTGTGTGCTATGTATCTGTGTACCATGGTGATCTTTCTTTCATGAATGAGAAACAATTTTTTCTTTGCACATTCGTATTATTATTAGAATTTCAATTCCTAAAATTTCGCTCTATTTTCATGTCAAACGTCTGTTGATTCTCCTTGTGCAATACATTTAAACGCATCTGTGCCAGCATATAATGTGTGTAACTTTCGCTTATCGACATGCAGTTTAAATACCCACGACAGTCAGTATGCATAATTCAAACAACAATTGTCGGAGAGATTTGCCTTAAAGGGGAGGTGTCATGCACTTTACTGATGCATTCTGCATGAATTTATAATGCACAGTCTGAAAAACTATATTATTAAATCTATAATTATTTGCTAATTATTCGAGCATGACATTTCCCATTAAATAAAAAATTGTATCTTCTTTTATATTATTACGTTTATGCATGGATTATTTATGCTACATTAACTAGTCTGTTATAATCAGCAAAATATTTATCTAATTTATCTTTAAAAAAATAAAAAATTATATATATATATGTATATCTATATATATTTCGAAAAAACATAAAAATAGTAATATTTTTTTTTATTCTTACTTTTAATGCATATATCAATATTATATACATATTATCATTAAATTAAACTTTGTTATGTTAAATTTTTTAATATAATTTTATTTGGCTTATCATCATGTATAAATCATACAGACAATATACTAGTTTTGTGCTTTAAATATATTTGATATACATTAAAGCTTCTTTTATATACAATTCACCTTTATGGAATAAAACTGATAATATAAACAGGACATTCTAAACAGGCAAATGATATCATATAAAAATAAGATTTAAAAAATCACGTAAAATATTTAAACAAACATCCCTATGAAAAAAACAGTAATTTCCATCTATACAATAAGGAGCAATTTCAATAGCCATGTACAAAATTATGCATGCAGCATATAAAAAAAGTAATAATTAAAAGTAATATTATTTGCATTCTTTATACATTAATTCCTAAAATATATTGATATTTTTGGTGCATGTAATATAACGTGTATAGTTTATATTATGATAAATAGTGCTAACCCTGAATATATATAACTCTCTCCCCCAGATATTTGTGAAGATTTATAAAATTTATATTATGTGGAGATTTATATTAAACCAACATAAAGCATATCTATTGATATCTTACCTTGATGGGTGGCAGGTGGTTGCGAAGAAACAGAACTTTGTCCAATATTTCCTGCTGATTGTTGACTTACATCTTGAATAGAACCATCACTTTGGGCTGGTGTATTAGCAGAACTAGTTTCCATATTACTCATCTAAAATATCATGAGTTATTGAAATATTATCATAAGTATATGATTCATATATCATGATATATGATTCATATATCATGAGTTATTTTGTTTGCAATATCTCCTGTTAATGCCTGCAGTTTGTTTAAGAATTAAGTATAAAATTGCAATCAAATAATATAAAAATAGTTGTTTTTACTTACAATTGATATTTGATCTTCATCAATACTGCCTTGAGATTCTGTGCTAGTATTCACTGGCCGCCTCAAATTCTCTCCACTTTCTTGCGATACAATGAGAGGTTCAGGTTTGACAATATTAGTAGCCACTAATGTGATTTCATTAATTTCTTCTGGTTTGTCACCAGAACCAGATGTTGAGCCTGTAGAAGATTTCCTTAATCTTTTCCTACGAAATGAAGGGGACAATGGAGATGGACTTGGTGAACAGGATTCACCACGATCTCCTCCGCCTGTTTCACTGCTTCCACTTGGCCATTTGGTCAATGATGCTGTATGCATTTCTGCAAGTCCTTTAATCTTTAAGCTTTCTGCCGTCTGTCAAATGAATAATATATTATTTATCATGATCTTTCAAATATAATATAAACAATTAAATTTCTCCAACGAAATGTTTTATTTTACCTTTATAATAGATGGCAATTGATCTTGAGATATGTTCACCTCCCCATAATACATAAAATCCACCATAATTTTAAGATCGGAAAACTTGATATCTTTGAGTATAACAATAGGATGCTGACAAGGATTCACTGTAAACAGTGACTGAAAATATGTACTGCATGCTGATAATACGACTTTGTGAGCCTGAATTTGTCTGCCTTCGGCAGCGAGAGTAACATCCACTAAAGTTTCATTGTTCAGCAAATTGGAAAAAACCGAAATAAAATTCGGTTGATGATTGTTCCACCGCAAACAGAACTGTTGCATAGACATTGTGGCGATGCAGGACAAATGCTTTATAATCTTTAACTGCAACATAAAAACGAAACATAGCTTATGTTATGCAAATACATGAATAACATAAATATCACAAATAATGCAACATGACAATACAAATGATCTTTCACAAGAAAATTGTCTCTGGATTTCACTTAATATGTAATTTATCAGAGATCAACTAGATAGTTTACTTTCTTCAAATTAAAAACAAGATATTTGAAATTGTGCATTATAAACTTATACAACATTCACAAGTCTTATTACGCAAAGTGATCTCATTGAATAAATGACAAAACATCATTCTTTGATCATCACAATTGCAGATAGACAATAAATAAAATTAAAGAAACAGCTCATGATGAGATGATACATATAACTATTCCACGGTTGATTCATCGAGAAAAGTTTCTCGGCAAAAACATGATGTGGGTGCGAAGTGTCACGCGAGACGACATGTTGCGCCGTCGAGGTACTACAAGCCTTGGCGATGCTGCCGATGTCGTTTGAGAAAACGACACAACAATAAACAATACAACGCTTGACAGATGCAGTTAGGAAGTGCTTCTCTTTCGCGCGTGATTGATGGCGAATAACGACGACAATATTAATGATCGAATGATGATTGGCGATGACGCTGAGAGAGGAAAAAAGACAAAGAAAAAAGGGAGCGAGGAGAGGAAGGAGTGCTCACTTCTGATCGCGATGCGTTTTGTTGTAGCGTCGTCGACGAAGGATCCACCGCATTCGCCGGTCTCGCTCAAGGGACGACGCACCTTGCCGCTGCCACCATGGACCCCGCGAAATTTTCCACAACAGACTGAGCGATGACGCTTGTGTAATTCACGAGTGACGTCATGGACGAGGGAGGAGGATTTACGCGATGACGACGCCGCGACCGCCGGGGGAGACGCGCGCGCGGACCTGAATTCCGCTACGCCGCGAGCGGATATCGCGACGGGCGTCACACACAGGCGCGTACAGAAACACGGGACACGCACGCACGCACGCACGTACGCACGCACGCATGCACGACGCACGCAAATGAGCAGGCACGCACGTCACGCGGGAGGACTGCGTGCGATCGAAAAATTTCGCGAGATCTTATCAACGTGCGCCTCGCAAAATCCAACTTGATCAATATAGCGGCCGGCCGGCGCCGCCATCTGGCGAGCGATCCGCGCGAATGCGAACGCGCAGCGGTTTTTTGAAACCTGGCATGCATCCGGCGAGATTATTCTCGGCGTTATGAAATAGCTCAGATTAAAAATATTCGAGATAAGCATCATAAAGATTTAAGTAATTAATAAAACACATCGCTCAAATGAAATTTTTATTATTTTTTTTTAAATTAAAAATAATAAAAATAAAACATCAAGATTAGGAAATCGTCGTACATGGTAGAATAAAGTATGAAATAAAATAAATAATATCGATGTCTATGGATGTTATTTATATAAAAATAGTAATTTAGATTATTGAAGAGCCGATATTTTATTTTTTACCTTTATTAAATCATAATTATGGAAAATTCTTTCCATAATTAAAATAAACGTATGTATTTTTAGCATAAATTTTACAAAAAAAATTCAACTTTTTAAATAATAATATATAGATAATATATAGATTAATGTTTTCGTTGTTAATATTAAATTCTCACATACATTTTTCAACAATTTTAAAACATTTGTTGTGTATTGTATTATCCAATTTATAATAATTAACATTATATTACCTACATAAAAAAGTTTATATAAATATTAGTTTATAAAATTTGCTTTATAAATCTCTCTCTTGTATTTTAAGATTTATCTAATAAAATCGCTTATAAATCGGTCACAATATTCCAAAAAACGAAAGGAAAGATCGCAAGTTGTTCGCAGATAAATCTGCAAACATCTCGGAGTGACGTGAAAACAGAGGAGGGCGCGCGGCGAGAAAACAGCAGCGCCGCGGCGCCTTGATAAATCACATGCGTCGGACGACCGCGTTTCTCGACTCTCGATATACGGCCAATCTCCATGATATCGATATCCCTCCGCCGCGTTGTCGGCGAGCGCTGACGAAAGCGCTGCCGCGAACGTCAAACAGGTGTCGTCCCCACTCTTCGCGACGGTCCTAACCTCGGCGCGCTCGTTGCTCCGCTCCGCTCCGCACCGTTCCGCGCTGCGCCGCGCCGCGCGCTTCGTTCCGCGCGATGCCAGGCGTATCCTCCGTTTAGTGTGAGACGACGGACGTCGGAGATGCACACCCGCGAGCTTCCTCCTACATCCGCATCGCCACGCCGTTAACATTGGACCGCCGAGGGAAAAAGGTGCGTATCGATGGGACGAAACACGATCAGCGGAAAATCGACCAGTCGTCTCTCGCGACGAAAGAGAGAGAGAGAGAGAGAGAGAGAGAGGGAGAGGAGCGCGCGTTACCCGCGGCCGTCTCTCGCGCGCACATTGTATCTCGTTTCTCACGATTGCTCTCGGCCGACTCTCGAGCTAGCGAACTCTAGTCGGCATCAGAGGCGTGTAACGATCGGTCGTCCCAGCCCAGCACGCACCGCGAACGTTCCGTCACGCAGGCATACTTTCGCGGTCTACGCAACGGCGAGTCTCCGTGACGCGCGTCAGCGGAGTGTTACACACGCTCGGGGAGTTCCCTCCTTGGTCGAGGAGTTACCGCGGAGATAATCGCGCTCCCCCGCGAGATAATTATTTATTTCGGAATTCTAATTTGAACAGTGACACGAGCAGCGGAACGCGAGTCCGGCGGCAATCGGAGTAATTGAGACTGATACGGCATACAGCTAATGAAATAGTGCCGCGTGAGACTCCGTTCCGGGAGGACATTCCAGATTTCCGCGAGCCGGAAAAGTTCATTCCTGGAGGAAGACGATACGACCGACGGGATCATCTTTTCTGTCATCCGTAAATCCGTATCAGCGCGGGATTCGGCCCGTCAGTTTAACATCTCTCCTCTCAAGATAATAGAGACCGAGCGCGAATGCGAAGGAGAAGCGTGAGTATCCGCGATTCCACATACATCTCTGTGAAGAAAGTTCGTGGAAGCGCGCTGCCACGTCTCTAGGCGTCAAACGCGTGGCGCAAACACGGCCAGCGACGTCTACGTGTCGCTCCGCTCGCGTGCGAGTGTGCGTGCGGTGCGTGCGTGTGTGCACGCGGATTCCGCCGGCGTGACGTGGTGATCGTTAGCGGGCTCAACTCGGCTCAGCTCAGCTTGGCTCAGATTTTCTCGACCGGTTCGTCCACGTTTTTTTTTTTTTCTCTCTCTTTCACGAGAAATTGCGTTCGACCGTTCGCGTCGAAAAGGGACACCCGGTCCCCCGGAGATGACACTTCGCGCGCGGAGAGATCGCGAACGAGCACGCACGTTGGCCGCCCTCGAGGCACGCGGCGCGTGGCTTAACGGTGCCACGAAGGTGCGCGATCCTTCGTGTCTGTGTCGTGGCGATTACATGTGAGAGAATAGAAAAAAAGAGAGAGAGAGAGAGAGAGAGAGAGAGAGAGAGAGAGAGAGAGT